GAAAATTCTGCTGTTATGTGTTTTACAACCAAGTATCCACAATAAGCTTTTCAAATAGCATTTTTGGACATAATTTTATGTGAGTTTGAAAAAAAAAAGTTACCTGCAATTTACTCTTTAAAAAGCAAAAAACGCGAGGAGCCGTTTGAGAGCTGAAAGAGCCGGTCCATTTTAGTGAGCTGAGCCGTAAGAACCGGTTCTTTTAAAAGAACTGGAGTTCCTGTCACTAATGTAGCACATTACTTTAAAAGAGCATAGCAACGTATTGGTCATTAGTATTTCAGAAACATGAGTTTCAATACATTTATCACCCTCATCTTTTTTCTAGAGCAGTAGCTCAGGAGGTAGAGCGGGTTGACCAGTGATTGGAGAATTATGGGTTCAATCCAAGCTCCTGCCAGGTACCCTGCTCTACACATCACCTGGCTCGTCTGTGTTGGTGGTGGTCAGAGGGGCTGATGGCGTGAATGGAAGCATCACCTCCATCAGACAGCCCCAGGGCGGCTGTGGCTACACTGTATCTTACCATCACTGTGAGTGTGTGAATAATGGGAATAGCTTTGAGTGCCTAGAAAAGTGCTAAAATTAACTAATCCATAATTATTATTATTACCACACACCGTTTACAGAAGGACCAAAACCACTAGCGTGATGTCACACTGGTATAAACTACTACTCAGTTACAGTGTGTCAGAAAGCTGTCACACACCTCAGTGAGGGGTGCAACTCACTTATGTTATTGACTAGGTAGTATGTAATACAAGCATATCTGTTGTAGCTGTAACTAGTTACATGTATTTGAGTAACTTGTGTAACACTGTTGGCGTTTATCAGTCCTGAAAGCGTTGTGACCAGTGACCAATAAAAGTGACGCTTGAGAGAGAAAACATCTGGGCTGATAATCCTGATCAGATTTTTATAAAAGAATGAAAATATTATGGAAACACCCTTCTATTAAACCATATAATCCTCCAGTGGCTCCTCCCCTCTCTTCTCCCCAGTTCAGGGTAATAAAACATTTCACTATACTGGATAATCCCAGGAGGAATTCCTGGTGTTTGGTGAACCAGAGTCTCTCCGGTGTGATTTCAGACACAGCGGACAGCAGTCATTAATCACTTCTCTGTGACTTTAGCCTGTGTGTCTGTGTGTACACACACACGCGTTCATCAGAACTCAAATCCTATCTATTTATAGGGAAGTCGTGGTGGGAATGCCAGTGTAGTTGTTCTACCTCTCCCTGGTAGTTATTTCCTAGAGCTGAACATGACCTCTGGCATGTCGTCACCAAACCCCGGCTTCATGTCAGGGATGTGGAGGATGAACACGTAAATGGCCCTGGCCCCCAGGCGGTGGCGGCTCACATTTTACTCACTAGACTTTACAGCAGCTTCCTGTTAGGTTTCAGTCTTGGGCTGCAATCATCTCCATCTGTTCAGGGTTTACCTTTTAAACTTCCCAGAGACTTGCAGTGAGTGATGAGGTGTTCACGGCCATCAGTGCTCCTTAGACCCGGAGGCAGAGGGATCTAAATGTGAAATCATAAATAAAAGCTGAGTGGAAGGAGGATGCCATCAGCAGTGATCATGTTTAGATGTCATCTGTTTTCAGTGCTTCTCTGACCCTTTGCCACATCTCTGCTGAATAGTTATTCATTGAATTGTTACCATCCTATCCACCCATCAATCCATTAGGGCGGCCACAAACCCTACAAGATTATTCTGGGAGTCGACCAATCGGATCAAGAGTCAATTGTAAGATGTTTGTTCTGACATGGAAGGCAGGTTCTACCTTGCAGATTTTGCACATGCTTCCCTTGAAAAATGTTCCCAAACCTTTAAGCTCCGTTGCCGGCCATGATTGTTCTTTTTTGATGATGCCACGGAAAATTCAGATCAGATAACTTTATTGACCACCCAGCAAGCCGGTAGAAGTTTTTCCAGTATGTAGGGTTTGGTAAATTAAGTGCTTTAAGAGCTCAATATATATATTACCTCTACTTATGACCAGTAAGCTGTGATACTCTATGTAAATATAGAATATCACCCTGCCTGGTCTTTATTGTGTTTTAATCAGAAGATTCTAGGATTCTTTATTTATTAGGTGATTGTACACTGTTTTGATTCAAAAAAAGAGTCAGGTTTATAAAAGTAAGAATTTATTTTACATACAATTAAAACATGACAGGTTGGTTAACTAACATTTACTGTGAGTGGATGGAACTAAATGTGATGTATGAAAGCTATGTGTGAATGTGATGTTAGTCAGAACCTCCATATCTAGGAGAGCTGCGTTCTGGATGTAAAAGAATTTGGTTTGCGTTAAGCTATGAGTTGATTATTATCAAAAACCACATGAGATGCTGTCTGTGTGTCTACGTTACCCGTTTTCAGAGACCCTCTTGGTGGATCTGAAGGTCAGAGAGGTCGGATGACCTCTGGCACCGGAGGGCTGTAGAATACTGTAGCACCAACCCTTCAGTCCAGAGATGTCTCGGGTCACGACAGACGGAAGGAACCATGCGTCTGGGACTCTTAAGGAGTCTAAACAAAATCAGCTTGTTCTGCAGGAACCGTTTTCTACTTCACAAGTTGTGCCAAATAAACTACAATTTCTCAAAAGCTTTACCTCAGATATGTCAGTTTGACATTTTGAGTAAGAGAAGAAGTAGCTGAACAGTTTAATGTACAACATGTGTATGGTACTTAAATGTTGTGTCATTAAAAGACTGAAAACCGATACCAATATTTTCAGTGTTACATGTCAGTGCCGATATCAGCCAATATTAATGATAGACCGGTAATGTTGAACGTCTTTACTCTGTAGTTCGTGCAGGTGAAACTGGTCCGAAACTGTTTTTATCACTTAAGAAATATCTCCAAACTGTGAAGGTTGGTGACAAAACATGAACTTGAAATGGTTCTCCATGCCTTTATCTCCTCCTGTCTAGATTACTGTAACACACTCTTCACATGTTTTAACAAAAAAGCCCTTGACCTCCTTCAGTTGGTCCAGAACTCTGCAGCGAGGCTCCTAACTGGAGCAAACAGAAGAGCACACATCACTCCTATTCTGACGTGACTGCACTGGTTACCCGTTAACTGTAGAGTTCATTTTAGAGTCCTGACTAGAACTTTCAGGGCTCTATATGGTCAAGCTCCTCCCTATATTACTGACCTGTTAAAGCCTTGTGCTCCAACCCGAGCCCTCAGGTCCACACACCAGAACCTTCTAGAAGTTCCAAAGACCAGATATAAAAGTCGAGGTGATAGCTTCTTCCAGACTGTTGCACCCAGACTCAGGAATGATCTTCCTTTATCCTTACGCAGCTTTGACAGTCTGAACACTTTTAAAAAACAGCTGAAGACACTTTTATTTAAAGCTGCTTTTACCTAAATATTTTATTTTCTTATTTCTAACTTAAAATTTTAATCTTTAATCTGTTTATGAAAGTTTATAATTTTATGACTATTTTTTCTGATGTTAATCAAATTCTGTTTAGAGATCATTTTGATTTTATGATGTTAATCTATTTATGATTTTATGACTTTGTTTTATTTTATTTTGATCTATGTGAAGCACTTTGTGATTCTATGTTTGTGATAAGTGCCATATAAATAAAATTTACTTACTTACTTACTATAAACTAGAACTTAATTTATGTCAATAATTCAACTTTAAAGGTGAGACAGACTCGTTCACGCAAAGGTATTTCAGCCTTTATTTGTTCTAACGATGGTGATTATGGCTTACAGCTGCACCAGGCAGCTGCAGGTAATGTCTAAATTAGCCCCTGTGGTGTGTGCACATGTGCATTACGTCAGTTTAATAATTCATTCTTTAAAACAAAAACACCTGTTGCTATATGCAAAATAAATCATTACCATTAAATATATATGAAACATTTATTTAAATTTTGAATAATTAAGTATTGAAATAATTCAATGCAAGTAACTTGTGGCCAACGGCTTGTCTAAGCACAGAAATGATGTATGGAGAGCAAGTTTAAAATCCATGATAATCAGGAGTCAGGGCAAACTGCAGCACCTGTCTATAACCTCACTAGTCAAAACAAGAACAAGTGTGTGTGTTTACTTGTATTTATAGGCTTATGTGGACAAAATTTAACTTTTAACCTGTAGTGAGTGGACATTTTCACATTGTGGGGACGTTTGGCTGGTTCACACAACGACAAAATACCCTAAAACGTGGTTTTAGAGATATGGTGTGAATTAACTTTTGTTTAGGTTAAGGATGGGAACAGAACAGCATTGGTTATGGTAAGGGTTGGTGTATCGGTTAGGCATAAAACAGTCACAAACATGAAAAAAAAGAAAAGGATGGAAGTCAATGGAGGGTCCACACAAGCATAAAAATACAAGTGTGTGTGTGTGTGTGTGTGTGTGTGTGTGTGTGTGTGTGTGTGTGTGTGTGTGTGTGTGTGTGTGTGTGTGTGTGTGTGTGTGTGTGTGTGTGGGTGTGTGTGGTAGAGAAAGGTACTGTAATCGAAAATAGAAGTTATTTCTTTATCTGATCAACTTCCAGTTGGTGAACGGGGAGATTACAGCGTGGAAAGCAATGGAGTTGCATAAGTCAGAGAAAAGCCACACAGTGGTACTAAAAGATTGGCAGGTCTGATTGTAAGTTACTATTTTTAAACAGCAAATCAGAATATCCCATGAGGGGCCAATGAGGCTACAATTCGCACCAGCTTACCAAAACGGACAGTTGAAGAGTAGAAAAATGTTGCCTGGTCTGATGAGTTTGGATTTCTGTTGAGACATTCAAATGGTAGAGTCAGAATTTGGGCACATCTGCAAAAGGCTTCTGCCACTGTTGAAAGAGGCTTTTCCTTTGACCTGTCTCTACTAAGTTGTAAACCTAAACAGTATTTCATGGTGGTCATTTTGTTATGGGATGGGCATCAACCCCCCACCCCCACCCCCCACCCCCACCCCCCTTACTGGGTATAATCGTTGTTTCATTTGTTTTCTCTGTAGATTCCCTTTGTACTCAAGAGGAGAGCGCTTTCACTTTGAGTATGGCGTCTACCTTCTCAACAAGAACATTGCCCAGGTATGGAGACACATCCATGAGAAGCATTCATTCAATTATGCGTTACGTGTGTTTACATTTTTCACTCATGCTAGATTATTCCTTAGCAAAAATGATTTAGGAACTGAAGCCTCAGCCTAAAGAAAGCATTCATTCTTCTTTCCTTTGTATTAATATATGATATTCATTAAGTTAGTTGGTTCCTAAAGGATCTGATGAATCTGTATGTCTAGATTACGCTAACGTTTACGCGTTCGAAAATGGTCAGAAACATCAATAGATTTTATGAAACTCCCCAAAGCCAAAGAAGCTGATTAAACATGCATGTACATTTAAAACCAATGCCTTCATCAGACGACACGTGGCTGGAGTTTGTTTTGGGTTTTTAAGGACTCCAGTTATGGTTGTGTGTTCCACTCATTGGGCACTATCATGTACACCAGTTAAAACAAATTCACACCAGATCTCAGTCCAATCCAGATATTTTGGGATGTGGTGAAACGAAAGGCCAAAGTCATCGATAGAACTGTGTGATGCTGTCATGTCTGCACGAACTCAGTCCTCTTACACGTGGGCCCTAATTTACCAAACGTTGGTAGAAACTGTCTTAAGCCTCGGATCCATCTGCAGGGTTTGGCACAAAGCGGAGCGGGTTATTGTGGACCAGCGTGTTCCGGTATGAGCCTGCATTTTCAGGAGTGTTTCTATCACAGGTTGGGCTCTTAGGTCGGCAGGTGGGGTAAAACGAACAGTCATGCATGATTTTAGAAATAAGTTGTGCAACCATTCAGTATTCTTGTGAATCAGATTATAAATGGCATTCAGCGTGGCGTAGCACCTCCGTGTATTTCTCCCATTTCCAATCCAAAGAAAAAAAAATCCCCTCCTGCTGTTTCTGTCCTTAAGTATTGTATATCGTGCTTTAATTTCTTCAGCTTGGCCCAACACTATTTCGATGTCCACTCTGATCCTTTGGCTGCCATCTGCTGATAAAAAAAACTTCCACAACGGTCCGTCTAGCTCCTCCTGAGTGTGGACTCTCACTATGACGGTGAGGAATGTGTGGAGCGCTGAAGATGACCAAATCTTGTTGCTACTTGCTAGCATTTTCTCACATTTGTGTTCAACTTATAAAAATACTAATAAAACTACAGAAGTCCAAAGTTTGTTTCGCTTGTTGCAAGTAGTGACTGTCCCCCAATCAGTGGACTGTGTTGTTGCTTCTTCTTAACCATACCGCTGCAGACATTTCTGGACCTACAACAGAAGGGGGACACAAAAAGTCCCATGACTGGCGAGGTCTGGGTAGGTTGTGTGTACCCAGGTGCTCGTGTCCTTATCAGTCATTTCCGTACAGAAACACCCTGTTAACCATGTTGGTTAAAATGGTTCTTCATACAACTGAATCTGATGAACCGTAGACAAACAGAATGCATGCTCGATTCTGTTATCATTTACAGTTTATAGGCCCATTTAATGAGTTGTATGCACGTTCTGTTTGGTGTTTTGGCGCTTACGCATTAGCATCGGCACGGCTCCAAAGGGTTCTTAATGGCACCGGAATTAGGTTTTACACACAGGTCAGATTAACGTTTTTGGTGCCAAAATGCGCAATAAGAAAAGCGTTTTCATTCAGACACGCTGTCGTTCTGATCTGCAGCTCACAGGCTTCACACGCTAGAATAAACGTCATTGCATTGTCAGCGTGAACTGTGACATGATTATCACTCACCCAATCACCTGCTTTGACATCATTTTTCTTTGTAGTCCCAGTCTTTCAGCTTTTTCTTGTGCTTTTTTGCAGTAATACGTTTAGACAAACACGGCCTACACACATCACACACCCACTACAAACTTATAGAAAACATGTGAAGTGATTGTGGGTGGAGCTAAAGTTTCAAAGGTCTAAGTGATTGATGATGGAGGAGGGTGGAGTTTTTGACAATCTAAGAAGGAAGTCAAGTCATGGTGTATTCTTTCCAGAAGAGCTGTGTATTTTTAACAGAATGAAAGGCATCTTTGTTGCACCTGAATGGGGGGATAAAGCACATGTAAATGAAAGCCACTTTAATGAACCTTCGATGCGCCAAAGTAGATTATTAAAAGAGACAACCCCGGAACTCAGAGTGAGGAATTAGGCCCAGCAGGTGTCTAATTTTAACCACTGCATCAGACATGAGCTGCCAGGTACTCATCAGCATGTTGTGACTAGGGTTGCAACGATTAGGAATTTTGTGGTACGATTATAGTCTGAGAGATAATCACGGTTTCATGATTATTTTACATGAATTGATTTGATATATAAGTCACACACATACATTCTATAAAGTATTGATCAAGTGCATGTTTACTTGGAAAGGGTAGAATGCCTTCTCCAGGTCAGGAATGATGTCCTGCCCCAAATGAAGGAAGTATCTCAGGGTCTTGTTATCTATTGAGGGAAAGATGGAGTGTGAGATCGATAGGTGGATTGGGGCTTCGTCTGCAGTGATGCCGGCATTGTACCGGTCTGTCGTGGTGAAGAGAGAGCTGAGTCAGAAGGCAAAGCTCTCGATTTACCAGTCGATCTATGTTCCTACACCCTCACCTATGGTCATGAGCTTTGGGTAGTGACCGGAAGAACGAGATTGCGGATACAAGCGGCTGAAATGAGTTTTCTCCGAAGAGTGGCTGGGCTCTCCCTTAGAGATAGGGTGGGAAGCTCGGTCATTCAGGAGGGGCTCGGAGTAGACCCGCTGCTCCTCCACATCGAGAGGAGCCAGTTGAGGTGGCTCGGGCATCTGGTCAGGATGTCTCCTGGACGCCTCCCTGGTGAGGTTTTCCGGGCACGTCCAACCAGGGCTGCCACCCCCATGACCCCACTCTGGATAAGCAGCTTAAAATGGATGGATGGATGTTTACATTCTATAAAGGTATCTACTGCTGCTTCTCATAATAATCTGTCATTTTTAAATCACAGTTTAAAACTTATAAAATACCCTTAAAGGTGTGGAACACTCATTTAATCAGTACTTTTGCAGTGGTCTCTAGTAGGACTGAGTAAATCGTACTCTGGGGAACAATACACCAGTGCGCTGTTTTCAGCACACAGAAGGTAGCCACATCACAGCTGAGCTTCAGACAGGAGGAGTCTTATTTCCTGATATGTTGACATCTCGCCTCTGATTGGCTAACACCAACGTGACTCTAGCACTGACTCTGTTTTCTCTGAAACGTTGATGTTTTATCTCCACAAATAACACAAGCCTGGTGGAGTTCTGCTGTGTGGTGGAGTTGCCAATGCTAACAGTTAGCTTCTAAAAGCAGACGTTCTCTGCTGTTTCCTGGACGCTAAATCAACAGCAGCCTTCCCCGTCGTGAGTCCAGATGGGTGAGTCCATGAATGTTAGTGACAGTGTGACCTAGATCTGCCAGGATTTTCTAATCCTAGAGTTTCACCGTCTGTTTTCTATCAGAAGCTAATGCAGGAGATAGGTGTAGGAGACTATTTCATGTTCAGTCTGCATGAAAAACTCAGTTACTGATTATCAGAAATAATCATTAAAAATTGTTTTTCAGTGAACAACACCTTTAATTATATTTGCCTAATAGCCTTTTTTGAGTTTGTGTAAAAAGACAAAAAGGTTCAACTGTTGACAGCTGGTCAGGCTAGGACTGAAGGATGGAGACTCCTTCATGAGTTAAGATGCTGAAGTCCCACTAGTGCCGTTGTTATTATTAATATCCTTAAATATCGTTTTTACTTATTCAATCATATCTTTATTTTTAATTTTCGTCACTAAGAATATTATTTAGAAAATAATAAAGTCATTTACTGATGTGTAGAAAAGGATTTATAAGAAGTGGTGATTAAATATTAAAATGGCTTTCTGTACATGGCTTGTTGTAGGCATACAGGGGGAACGTAGAACAACACAATATGAACCATCGTTCACTGAATTGTTTTATTATTACTGTTAAATCTGTTCAGTCACCAACCTAATCTGACTCAGTTGGAGCTAGTCTGTCTGTGTGATAATCTCAGAAATTATTAAAAGTTGGCATGTTGCAACTTCTTCTCTGCCAGCTCTGCAGATAGATGAGCCATTGTTCTGAATTTCTCTTTTAGCAGCTTTGGGAGTCTAAAATATTCCCTCACAGGAGACAGGAAGCACTTCCTAGGTGGACACGGAGCAGTCCTGGTGGTTGTTGATGCTGGTTCTGCTGCGTGCATTCGTTCAGTTTCACTTTTGTTTTTGTCTGTTAATATCTTTGATGTGTTGAAGATGTCCACAGCATGTCACACCGCAGCATGTCACACCGCGGTTACTAGTCAAACTGGTTAATCCCTACAACCCTAGTCATGACTGGCTGGGCTCACACCCCAGAGGCTTCCTGCATCAATGAGACTCCAAAATGTCTAGGAAAGACTTTTGCCCCTAACCCTCAGATGCACACAGAGAACAAGCTCCTTTCTAACGAGCTTAGAACTGGATTATTATGAGCTTTGACTTCTGCACCCACCTTCTCACTGCAGCTTTGTGAGTGTCACGGCTGCCACCAGTTATGGATCAGCACCAGAAGATTCTAGATGAAAAGAAGATGAGTCATACAGAGTATGTTAATAAGTACAAAAATACATCGTCATGTCTGGTGTTATCACTCTGAGGTGTAGGGAGCACTTACTACACCTATTACGGTAATATTCCTCTGACATTACGGTAGTGTGGTTGTTTACCATCTTGGTGTTAGCTTGATGCTGTAGTTCTGAATGACTCAAAGGAAGTAAAACACCACGATTGACTCAATATTCACTACACACACATTTCGCTGTAGTATTGATTTGTTGGTAACAGAAAATGCTTCATATATTTGGTGTTCAGAGGGAGCGGCGGCACCAGTGCTCGCCTCTGTCAGAGCACCCCAAGGCAGCTGTGGCTACATCGTAGCTCATCCCCACCAGCGTGTGAATGTGTGTGTGAATGACTGATTGTGTTGCAAAGCACCTTGGGGGGGGGGGGTTCCAGTACTCTATATCAAAT